ACACATTTTAGCCGAAATTAACGACATTTTACATAAGTTTACTTACATATCAACTGAAGTACGTCATCTCCTGCAAAACAAACAATTTTCTTTCAATCCGCAATTTTTGCTAAACGCGATAAAAACTATCAAGGCAATTACTAATTCAAAGTTGCCAGTACATATGTCAAAAATCAATATCATAACACTACAACAAATTGCAGAAGTTAACGTAGTCTACTTTCGTAAGAACATCATTGTCGAATTAGTTTTTCCCCTTGTCGCAAGCAGCAATACACAGAGTTTCAAATTATATTCGCTGCCAGTATTTCAGTATCCTAACCAAACTAACCAAATCGCTAAGTTCATTAGACCACAAAGTGATTACCTGACTGTGACAGAGGGAGAAGCTACCCATGCCTTTGTAAGCAAGAATTTAATTGATAACAAGTGTAAACGTATTTTTTCCTTCTATCTGTGCCCGCGCCCGACTATACGCAAGCCAAACAATAATTCCTGCGAGTTTAACCTGTTAACATCATCGGAAGAGTCAAATCTTGTATTTTGCCAACTTGAAACTAACTGCGAAACTGACTATTATCTTATACCGACGTTACAAAATAATGTTTTGCTATACTCAGTGACTCTCAATACTTCCTTTGATATTAATTGTAACGGCGTAGTACAACCCTTTCCTTTGAATGGTACCGGATTAATACAGATTCCCCAGCCGTGCGAACTTAGAACAAGCCACCATATTTATTTAGGGGTTAAGAAAAAACTAAAGGCGGAAAATTTTGTAATTCCGAAAATCTTTTTGATAACTACAGACAAAATAGAATAATGAAATAATAGAATAATGACAAAATAGACAAAATGAAAAGCCCAAACACAAATAATAATCAGAACAGATACGAGCAATCGGACCGAGCGAAATTATTGCACGTATATTTAACTTTAGGTGTAATCATTGTAATCGTTATCGTATCCGTAATCGCAGTAAGTTGCATACTCTGCGCATATAGAGTGTGAAGTAACAAAGACCGCGGGTTCGAAAATATACCAATGCAAGAACTTAATCCATCCTTAACTCCTCAAAAAAGAATGATCTGCAAATATGCACAGACATTACTTGACGGAAAATATTTTAGGCTACCAATCAACTACGACACTCCTCACTCCCCACCCGTGGCCGTGCAAGTGGTCCCACTCCAAAAATCCAAAACGACAGATACTCCTCAAACTCTTCCCGCTCTCTAAAATAAAAAAGGTATAAAAACGCTAACATACCCCTCTGTCATATCAGACACTCCATAAAATCAGCACGATGAAACGCACGGTAACTACCACACTCGGCCCGCCATGCAAGAAGGCTAATCGATCCTGGACGACGGAACAGATATGCAACAGTCGGACGTCGGCAGCAACAATGGAACGACTATTTGCAAGATGGGAGAACCGGAAGGCCCAGACGAGCATGCAACATCCCGAACTGCCGCTATTAGACGACGATGGAGGCTGGAACTACGACGAGCTGACGCAGTATATTTTCCAGGAGGCTCATCACGGACACCTGCACTTAAGATTCCTCTTCGAGGAAACCTATGGAGGAGAGGAATTCGGACGAGCCCCTTTCAATCCATGCCGTGTGTGCGGGCAAGACGCCGCACATTGGCAGGGATGCTTCTTCTGTCGAGCACGCGTCGCAGCCGCTTCAAAGAACCAACAACTAGCCATGGAGACCGAATGTGTCCGCCCGGAGTATTTTATGCTCAGTAATGCCCCTTGTGTCAGATGTAATGGCAAGGAGTTTTTATGTAGGTTCCTGAGGAGCTTGCAGGTTCATCATTTGGAGTTGCTGTAATCCTATCCCCAGTCCTTCCTATTCTTAGAAGAATTGAATAATAATAAATAATAATAATAATTACAAAAAAAACAACACACAAAAAAACACACATAAAAAGAAATATATATATGTAAAAGATTTATAACAAAACACAAAAAAATCTTGACAAATATGTATGTAGAATGGTAAGACACGCAAAAAAAAAAGATAACAAAAATGTATACTCATACCAAATAGTTGCAGTAGCGTTCGGAGAACGCTAGTCCTTTGCTCTATCAGCAAAGGACTCCGAGGGGTGGGCATGTCACGTCGATACGAAAGAATAAGTACGTGACGAATTATGAGTTATGGTAACAAACTGGGTATCGGTAATTTAATTTTCTATTGTACCAACCCTCCCAGGAAGATTTGTAAATCTATCTAGCGGGATAGATTAGTCTAAGCACGTCTCCATAATATTTCCGCAAATATTACTCATCGCATATTAAATTAGCGAAAACACAGGAAGGGGCATATCAGCCTACGGTATAAAAAGGCTGGATTGGAATTCGCACAACACAGTACGCAGTACACAGTTGACAATTCAGCAGTTTGGTAGTTTCGCAAAGTTATTTTTTAAGTCTAACTATCCGGCTACTTAGAACCGGGATTATACTCTGTTAAGTATTATAATTGTCTTTAAACAATAAATCTTAAATCAAGCGCAAACACCTGAGACTGTTAGTAAGAAACCTCTTCTGAAATCCAATCCTAATAAGGTAAGAAACTATACTATCTACTTAAAACGCCCTACGTATAATAAAGGCGCTATCCCTTTAACCAACCTCTGCTTAACTCCTGACTAAGATCCAACCTTTACCAACGCGACAATATATGAATATATTATTACGTCTGGCTGTAACATCTCCTCGCCTAGACATAACACTTTTGAAGACGAATACACCGTTCACATTGGGTCTAAGGCGGCAGATGCTGATAACAAATCTCGTAGACGTCGTGCTCGTAAGCCATTGCCAACCACTCGTGATATTCAATTGTTTGGCACATTTTTAGAGGATCAGTTTAATATTAGTTATAATTTTCTAACCAAAGAAGGTTTCAGTGACTATCACTTCCAAAGGTTATCTAAAATAACTTTGATTATTCTGCAACTATTTAACAGAAGGAAACCTTGTGAAACTGAAAGGGCAGAAGTGGAGGACTTTGAGAATGCAAAGTAAGCTGATGCTAAAGATGAGTACTTCCAATCGCTTATGCATGAAGACAGGAAACAGTCTTCATCATATATAAGGATGGATTGTGAGAATGTTCTCGATGGTATTATTTACTTAAAAGGGAAATTGGTAAATAGTATCAACTTATTGTTAAGTTTGAGGAAACAAGTTAATATTCCAGTTGGTAACATGTTTTTGTTTACACTTCCAAGTGCAAAAAATAGTAGAATGAAGCATGTTAAAGCGTACTATGCTATGAGTTATTTAGTCAAGGAGTGTCATACGCAATATAAGCCTTTAGAAAGACCTGAAGCGATTACACACACAAATTTGCGAAAGCAGATGGCTACAAAGTTTAGCATACTTGAGGAACAAGTAGAAGTAGACGCTGTAGCAAGACACATGGCACATACGACAAGAATTCATCTGGGCACGTACAGGCAGGATATTAACGAAGTGGATGCTACAATGACTCGCGTTTTAAAAAGACTTGAAAAACCGATTACATGTGAAAATCTAAATTCAAATGAAATTAAAACTCTGCGGGAAGAAAGCTCTAGAGATGATTTCGAGAATCTAGATCCTGAAGGAAATCATAGGGAAGGTAAAGTAAACTGTTCATATAACTAGTATAATTAATTGATCTTATTATATTTTTCTATTTGTATGAATTCATCGGGATGGTATATTTTTGAAATTGTATGAATACCGACTTTCGTTACATAAATCGCTTATTTTTACATAAAAGATAAACTATTACACCTTATATTTCAGTATAATTGAATACTAAATTATAGATCGATGATCATTCAAAAATATCACTCGAAGATGCATTTCTAAGAAACAGACACGGACGCCGCCATCCTTTTGCTGCCACGCGCGCGCAACGATTGTTCACTTACGCGCGATTCGTGATATGCGTGCTCTTAGAGTGCCGCAGGTTTTGAACATGCCCGAGATCAATTGCAGCATGCAATATTATGCATATATTAATAATATATTAATAATGCGTAACTAGCCAGCTTACCTCGCGAGATCTACACGCGAAGGCTGCCTTTTGTTCGAATTACGGGAGGAATCAGTCGTTCAGGTCTCTTCGTTCGCGGGAGTTCTCTCTCTCTCTCTCACTCACACACGCTCAGAAAGCGTTCCCTCCTTGTCTGCGGGAAAACAGCGTTCACTGATGTTTCCGCGTCTGGGACCCCCCCCGTTCCAGCCTGCACAATTTCTGAAAAATCGTGGGAAAAAATCAAAATTGATAGATTTTCATTTGCCCAATTCAAATATGCAATTGGATTTATTTGCCCACCACGTGTTCATTAAATAAAAATTATTAACTACCAATGACTATTCAACCAGCTCTCGAACCAACTCTATTTCATTTATTAACGAATATATTGATCTCACCAAAATTGTAAATAATTGCCCACGAACTAATTTAATTTGCCCAGCTGAAAAAGATCGTCAACAATAATTCCTTTCTTTTCTTTAATAATTTAAACTATTACTGGAGAGGTTTCACGATTGTGCGTCTACTGCGCATGCGCCGACAACGGAGCGGCCGCCCGCTCATGATGACGTCGCGGATATATTCTCCATGCTCTACCTACAGTTGAAAATGCTATCTCATCAAGACTACATCTTTCGGTAATTATTTATTTATCAAGTTGATCTTTATAACATACTGTACTTAGTTCACTTACACATGCCAGTACAGATTTCACAGCTTTACAAAAATATTTGTGTCTACTTTCATATTTTCAACAGCAGAGCAGAGGCGTTTGGAGTTTTGTTTTGGGGTTTTTCCCCATTTTCATTTTGGAGCAAGAAAATGACGCCGCAACTTTTACAAACCATGAAATTATAAGTTGCATTTTATTTCAAACTATTTTCATTTTACAGCTTACTGATTTAAACATTACAATATTTGTGTCCACGTTAGAATTTATCTACTTCATGAGTAAAACGATGAAACAAAATGAAAGTTTACAAACTCAGCTATTTTTACTGACTAACTTAACCTACTTTAAAAGCAAAAATGGTAAATAAAACACTTCGTGAGTTCACCAACTCAGCTGTTTCTATTAATTAACTAAATGTTTGTGTTGGTGGTTCTATTACTAATTTATGTTTTTCATAGGTATACTCCAAATAAATGCAAATGGAACTGTATGGCAAATAAATGCAAATGCAACTAAAGTGGAGTTAGGTGTATGCTTTTTGCATAAAATAAGCTGCTCATCTTGATTGGCGGTGTGTTAACAGGTAAAATTTTTTTGTATGTTACTACATCATTCCTTTCGATCCAGTTAGTGTTAGTTAAGCAATAAGCTATATAGTGACCAACACCATTTTCAATCAAAGGTGGTATGAACTTGACTATTCCACATAACACAAAGGTGTTATTTTTTACTGTAATGGTTCGAGGCACAATACGTATATCAGTAGCAAACTTTTCTGATTCTATTTGTAGTTCGTCTTTGGCATATGTGCTAGCTCGATATGCCTCATCAGTATCTATCCATAAATATGGCCCCATAGTATATGTAATAAATAAGTTCAATGTTGTACACTTCTTGCAATTCAAAATTTTGTCTTGGAAAAACATGTTTAATTCTTGCTCTAAACTTTGGTAGTTATCTACCCATGCAATACGTAAGTCTGGCAAAAAAGTTATTATTTTTTTAAGATCTTCTTTGAAACCACAGTTGTTGCAACTCAACTTTTCAAGTGTACAGTCATAGTTAATCATTAATGTTTGAAACAACTGAGTAATATTGGTGTTGCACTCAATATGACTGGTGTTTGTATGGAAAATAGAGTAGAGAATGTGGGCACGGTTGGTGTAGAATATGCTAGCTACTCTCGTTAAAGAATAATCATACACTGTGTTGGCGTAACACAAGTATTGATTCGATTTGCTGTCATCAATACTTTTTTTAATAAAATCCTTGAAATCTATTACTTTAAAACAAGTACTACTTAATATTTCAGTGATTGTATCAAAGGCACAAGTATTTGATAATGTGATTCTGTCATTTTTCATACGCTTTCCTGGCTGCTTAGACCCATTGACAAGATTTCTTTTGCTTGCGCTATTTGAACGAGTGTGATGTTTTTGTTGCAGGTGCAGAGCAATATCAGGACAAGGCCGAACATGTATTCCTCGAATCTTTGGAGTTGAGTTGGGTTGAGCTGGATTGACTAAGGCTGGTATTGAGACTGGAGCTGAGACGTTGGCAACAGGTACGGTAGCAATTTCTAATTGTTCATCGATTATTAATGAAGATTGCTGGACTATATCATTTTTAAATTTGGCATATTTATGGTCCTGAAGTGAATGATCTAACTCCTGTACATTTAAACTGTCATTGTTATTCACAACTGATAATTCTATAATTTGGTCTGTATTTGGTAATTGTGCATCTGGAAATTGAAAAATGTATATTTTATGTTACCTATATAACAAAGTACAATACTTTAACTATAATTTGATAATTATACCTGAAAGATTTGATGCAGCAGTTTCGTTAAAAATATCGTCTTCATCAATGAGCAATTTATTGCACTTATTTCTCCATTTTTCTACTACTAGAAGATGTTCTTTATCATATTCCTCTATATTCTCATTAGACTTAATTTGCTTCTTATCTTTGATTATTCTATTTATTGCAGCTCTGGCCAGTAATATGTCAGAATGAATTTGCCGGCAATGCTTTACTAAGAACTTGTCAACCCTCATCACTGTGTTTTCCATTGAAGCCTTTATGTCGCCAATACATGCCTCAGCTCTAGCTGAGATTGCTACATCATGGGGATTATTGAAAAACTGTTGCATTACATTTGTCCAGCAAACAAAATCTTTGGCTAAATCTATCAATCTATTAGCAAAATCAGGTAAAAAATAATCATTCTTTTGAATTCCTAACGATAAGTCTAAATCACCGTCCTTCTTGACTTTAGATAATGATTGATTCTTGATGATCTGAATGTATATATATGTCAATGTCCATTTTTCATTACTTTTTTTGGAATTTTTACTGTGTTCTTCTTCATAACTATTTTTAATTTCACTCGGTTTTATTGTAGTGGAAGTATTCAAATCGAATTCATAAGTTGCAACTAATTTTGTTATATATTTCATAGCTTGTTGACATGTGTTATCAAAAAATGGACTATATGCAACAATAAAAACACATTTTATTACTTTTTCAAAGTGATGCAACTGAGAAATTGTGGATATATACCCAATGCATTTCACAAAAAGTTTTTTAACTTGGGGATTGTCTTTGGGGTAGCAGGGCCATTCGGCCGCTGCATGCATAAGATGAGCAATATCAATCCTTATCTGTGTACACAATTTCAAGAACATTGACTCTCCAAATATAATTAATAGGCAAGCATCTTTGTATGTCTTGAATGTGATATTGTTAAAAGCTAAGCAAGAACCATTCTGAATAGCTTTTCCCCTATCCATATTAAGTTCTCTAGGGGCCTTTCCTCCAGATTGTATCCACGTTTGTAGCCAATTTACATAAAAAATCGTGTCATTCTTTTCAGATAGAGCTTGTGCAATTGGTACTATTTGATCTCCTATATGAGTGCACATTATGGATAAAAAAATGTCACTGGAATCTCCGTCAGGTCTATTGATTTTCAATGCTATCGATGATGTTGCATCAAGGGCCACTGCATTTCCCAACTCGTTCGCGATATCATTGTAAACACTTATTTGGGAAGGTGACCAGTAAGTCAAGCAGAAGTAGTCGTATCCAATGAATCTGATGTAATGATTAAATTCTACATTATTTTTTATTGCAGATATGGAGTTAAATAAAGGTACGCCACGCACAATTCCCAGCTCTGCGTTTTTGGCATCTTGTCTAGCGTTTTGAAGCTGTTTCAATGAAAATAAATCGGCAGGTTCTGGATCTCCATCTTTCATGCGGTTGCTCGCTTCATTTCTTCTCCATTCTTTGGGTTTTTCTTTCAGAAGTTTTTCTCCGATGATAGATTTAGCTAATTTCTGTAATCTTATTTTCTTCGTATGAACAGTGCGTGAAGTATCGGTAGTGATAACGTTGAATTTTACATCAACGTCATTACCGACGACTTCGTGGCATACCAAGATTATTCTTGCTTGGCATTCAGCTTCTGTGCAATGCCCTTCGATCTTAATATAAGCACTATCACTGCCAACGTAGTGTCGGTCGAAGCTGTACGCACAAGGCAGTTTTTGGGAATGCCAGATGCATCTTCTCATTACATCTGCCCAACCTTCTTGCAACACACTAGTTGAACGACCACTCTTGTATACTATACTTTTAGGGCTGATTAATGACCATTCATCACGTAGAATTATGATTTCAAATTTTAGATTTGATTTTTTAACGTTGCCATTTGATGGTAATATTTTTGTGTCATCAAGATCTGCTTCATGATTACTGACATGGAAATCAACGTTTTCTACTTCATCTGTTATACCTACAATGATTTCTAAACCTTTTTGATCATTATAAAATGTTCTAATCCCGTGTCTATTTTGCTGTACCATTTTGAACAGATTGAGAGGTTTGATTTTACTTCCAAAGAAATTGCAAATATTTACCCAAACTGGGTCATATCTACTTTTTAGTGTGTAGTCGGAGTTGTAGATTATTTCTGTTACAATTTTTTGTTTTACTTCTTCATGTGGAACAGCTGGCTTACGTCCTGGCATTTTGTTAGTAATTAATATTTTCTCTATAGACATGTTATGAAGAAATGAATATTAATAGAATTATATCATTTAATTAATTATACTAGTTGAAATTCTTAACTCACATGAATATATAATAATTTTTAAAGCATGAAATTTCTTGAGCTCTTCCGTTATGCAGTGCTATTGCATGTTTAAAGATAACTTCCATCTCTTCAACTAGGTAAAATATTATATCAATTAGGTGTTCAATGAATTTTACAATCGAATAAAATTAATGGTGATTGATCTTACCATTTAAACCTTCAATTCCTTCGTTGCCCAAACCTAACCATGACAAAAATATACAACTCGAAAAAATATTATATGGTATGACATTAGAATATTTTATTTCTCTTTCTTCACAGTCAAATTTGATGTTCGATGCAATTCTCTCTATAATTAGTTTATCCTTTCCTTGTTGTCTCTCACGTTGTGAAAAAAATTCCAGTGCCTCGTAATACTGATTTATTACGTTCATGATGTTCTATTGCGATTTATATATAAATATTATAATATTTAATTCCATTTTCAGGTACAAAAACAAACAAAGCCGACAAAATTGATGAACTGTTGAAGAATGACCGGAAATGAGCAACGACGACGGAAACCGTTGGAAAGCTTTTGACTCATAATGACGAGCATGGTATTTCTATTGGTTCTTTCCAACGACAGCGGCAAATTTTGAAAATTCAAACGTACGGATTGAAAAGAAATCTAAATTAACGTTGAGAAAATTATTGTACGACCACAATTATTTTCTGATCTCATTTACTTAGTACTCTCAAATGATATATTTTGTATATGTAACGCAGTATGAAAAAAAAGCAGACTACAAATAAAATTAACCATCTTGAAAACTTAGTTTCTGTTATATTTCATTTACTTTAATTCAATTGATTTTATGCAACAAGACTTGTACATCCACAGCTATAAGATTAAAATAAAAATGAACAAGGTATAAAAAAAATATTGGGTCGCTGTATGATTAATAGAACCATTCTACCGTTCAAAATGGGTTTGAAAACGTATGTATGTATGTATACATAAATGTTGTTTTATTCATTTTTGTGTATATATTTTTGTTCTATCACTCAAATTGTAAGCCAAATAATTTCAGTAACTAACAATCAGTATCCGAGTAGGTATGGAATTTGAATTGTAGAGAAAACCCCGCTGACGCTGCGTTGCGCATGCGCGTTCAAGCTAGGTATGCGAGAATAGTTTATAATAGCTTTCAACAAATTACTATCCATTTTTGATAATGGTTCTCAACTGGGCAAATTGAATTGGTCTGTGGGCAATTATTTACCACTTTGGATGGATTAATTTATTCATTAATAAATAAAATACAGCTGTTCGAATATTTATAGGTAATTAATAATTTTTATTTAATGAACATATTGTGGGCAAATAAATCCATTTACATATTTGAATTGGGCAAATGAAAATCCATCGATTTTGATTTTTCCCCATAATTTTTTGGAAATTGTGCTGGCTGGAACGGGGGAGGTGCGTCTGGGCCCAGAAATCTCTGGTGACAAGAAGAGCACGTGTGTAACGGAGAGCAGTCACTCTAATGCTATATCGAGAACAATCGCATGCAATAATTTTAATGTAAAGGCCTTCGAACCCGGGAATCTGTTCGAAAACGTCTTTTAATCAGAGAGATTACTCTGATACTGTCGAAATAACTCGCTGTTATTCCCCTCGTATCACCGCGCGTCCTCCCTTTACCAGCCAGTAGGTGCTACTCCCGCGGGCAGTACCATGATCAAGACGGCTGCGCGAATATAACGTTCATTATTATACCACGTATATCAACTAAATCTATTACATATGGATATCCAGCCTGGAAATCCTATGGAATCCAGGTGGATTTTGTTTGTAAAAAAGATATTATTACAAATGGTCTTCTGTTTGAAATTATAACTGTAAATACCTATTTGTTATATTAAATTGTTAAGAAACGACAACAAAAAAAGTTACCCGAACATGGTTCGAACAAGGTACCAATTGCTCTCTAACCTCGCTCTCTACCGTCTGATCTATTTTTTCATCTTGGCTTCAATAGTGTATTTCATATGTACATAGCTATACATACTTAATTCTCAAATTTATATTCCATTTTTGTAATTCTATATTAGGATATTTCGGAAATTAGAGTTAATTGAGAGATTTCGACTTGGGGTTCGGAATTTAATATATAAAAAACGTTCAGAAACATATACTTTGTTTTTGGGTCAGAAAATTAACCTAATTGTGTCGTCATTCATTATTGTTGAAATCGCTCAAAATTATTATGGTGAACGTAGTGATATCACCATCTCTTTTTTTGAGTTTTTTACCGGATAAATATTTACATAGAAAATCTATTAACCGCCATTTTTGAGCATACTTTCTCATCATTGATTGTATAGAAACAAAGTTTTAAACATTAAATTTGCAACATAATACCGCTGTTCTAAATTGCAAAACTCCATTTATCTCATACGTAGTGATAAATAAAAAACAGACTGAAAAAACAGCTATTTCTTAAACTCGTAATTGTAACTGACATAAGAAACTTTATCTACAATCTCCTTTTCAAAAACAAAAATGATTGAATGTTGAAAAAATGTGTTTTTCGCGTTAAAAACTGAAGGTTCTGAAGCAAAGTTTTTACTCGAATAGAGAAAGTTGCGAATAGCTGGAGATCTATGCGAGAATCAAATCTAGATTTCCAATTTTCTCGTCTTGGCTTTAACGAAATATGTCATCTACGAGCTTATTTTCATCTCTTTAGTATATTTGTATGTATTACTTAATTCTTCTGTGCAAAATCGTATGCAACCAATAACGTGATATCTAGTTCGAACTACGCTCGGGTAACTTTGTTTTTGTTATTTCTTAATATAGTAATAGAGCAAAGAAGTATTTGAAGTTATAATTTTACACAAAAGACCATTTGTAATAATATCTTTTTTATTAACAAAATCCATCTGGATTCCATGTGGATTTCCAGGCCGGACAAAAATTGAGTACTTGAAACGAGATCTAAATATATAAACCATTTGAAAAATAAATGACATCTAATCGTTTCTATTTCTTTCATTACAATAAAAAATCTTATAATATACTATTTCAGCGTTGAATTTTAACAATAGATCCATAAGCAAGCAAATTTATACTCCAATCTGTCAAAATAAAACTAAATCCAAAGCACCTTAGTCACCTGAGGCATGTAGTTCATTCAATATATATTTCGCATGAAATATCTCCTGCTTTGAGAGAAGGAAGATATGAGATTGCTACAGAAATAAGAAACGCTATGTCAAAATACCAACTGTTAAAGGAAAGAGAAAGAGAGCGCAATAAGAACGAGATTTTATAACTTGAAATTGAAGAAAAAACAAGACAATCAAGAAAAATCAAAAGAGTTTCGTCGCATAGACACTTCTAAGAATTGAAAAAAAACTCATATTATATAACAATATTTAATCGTTTTTTAATCTAAAATTTGGATCAAATCTAGGTTTTACTCACTTTTATTTCTGTGAAAGTGATATAAGATCCTGAAAGATTCTTCAGTTTTTATATTTCGTTAAGTACTCGTACGACAAATCATTCACTTTTTTATTATGATTAACTATATTAGATAACAACTTTACTTATATTTTAATTTAATTGAGTAAAGATGTCCACCAAAGTTTACGTCATAATTAAAAAATTAGTAAATAATAAGTACTACTACTGTTTTAAGAACAAAGTTCCTATATAATGACAAATTAAGAAATATAAATAAGTGATATTAAATTAAGGGATTGCGTAGAAATGAATATTTTCATTATTATTTATAGTTCTTTACAAAGCTTTACTATAGAAAAGCCTTTCCTACTTAATAATTTTCAAACTAAAGAATTTGAAACATTTACTAGCTATTGTATTTATTTATTTAATAAAGAATACATTTGGAAAAGAATATTGTTTGTTATTAAAATAATTTATTTGAATTAATCTAATGATCATTGACTCTAAATTAGATTATCTTCTGACACGTCGATAGTGTAGAGTTCTTAGGACTCCGATATATGTGTTAGTATTAAGCGTGTGTTAAGGAAACAACATAATGTTTCGTTTAGCATATACGCGCCTTTCGTGTACACCTCGGAGCAGATCGTGTTGTTGAAGGGAAAGGACTATTTGTTTATTGATTGGCAAACGGCTCGTTGACCGCACGCGCACACTGGTATACGCTGCAGAGCGTTGATCACCCTAACGCCTTTGTCTAGCCAAGGATGGGAAAGGGTATGACTTCTCGTGATCGTGGGCTCGTTCAGAACTCACACTGTTTGGCGAGCACCGCAGAGCAGCAATGATCCCAAAAGTCAGGCTAGATCAGAGTACCTACAAGCCAGCAACTCACATCTTATATAACAGTTGCACGTTACCAACTGCCACTTCACGAGAGTAGATAATCCATCGAGCATCGGACTTAATCGTGATTTCTAATAAACATCTTAACTGATTTCTATTAAGTATCTTAATGCTTGGCCGACTATCTATTTTCAACCATTACAATCTCTATTAAAGCCAATCGGATTATATGAAAACGGTATGTATATCACAATGAGAGGATTTAATGTAGCTGGATTTATTTGAAACTAGATTCTTAATGATTTACTGATGTCGGTACCTTATGGAAGAATTTATACTATTATCAATTGACATCATGAAGCTACTATAACTAAAGTCGAGGTAGTAAATCAGGGATTAATGTTACAAAAATTTCTATTGTGTACATTCGATCAGTTTCGAAAATTAGTCAATGTGACTCTATCGTAATCGACCGGATAATCGTGACACGGCTTGTATATCACAACATCCGAGTTTTATGTACCTAGATGTATTTTTATCTTTATTCAGTGAGATAATGGAGTGGTTAGCATCGATGTAATAAAGAATATGCAATTTTCTGATTAAAGCTTCAATTCCCTAGGTATGAGAACCGACCCCGGTATCAAAGTAACGAAAATCGCTTTAGCGTATATACCAATCGATATTTATATTAGTTATTTCATCTCTGTTATAGCCGACCAGGGTTATACGAATATGGTTTACATGTCACAATAACGGAATTGAACGTAGCTGGATTTACTAAAAACTAGATTTAGGTTGATAATGTAATGATGTCGACGTATTTTGTTAAACCAATAACAGCACAAGATACATTCTTCGGATTCTGGGCAATTAACTAAAAATTATTATTATACATTCTTTTAGCATTTAATCAATTAGATTGGTGAATTAGCGAATGTAATTCAATTATAACCGACTCGATATTATGTACATGTCTTGCACAGCTGAACTACCGGAATAAATATAACTAGATCTATTACTAATCATGCTCTTGCTTAAATGACTCGTCAGAACCGATATCACATACAACATACATTCGAAAAAGTTAAGTTTCAATTACCATGGTTCTAGAACCAAACCGTGAACTGTCATCGCCAAAATCAATTTTACGTCTATTCAATTAAATCAATAGATTACATTCTGCATCTCTTATAGCGGATTAAATTATATTGACAAGATATGTATATCGCAATGACTGAATTCAATGCAGTACGATTTATATGAATTTAGATTCTTAATGACGATTGATTGAGTTACCTTACCGATGA